TAACTTCTTCAACAGAAGCTCGTGGATAGACGGGTAAAACGGGGTTTTTCTTTAACTTGGAATTCTTCCATTCACGGGAAGGCTCTTTCTCTGCAGGGGTGGAAAGGGGAAACAGCAACGGTAGATTGCGTCGCTTTCTGAGATAGTCGATGTTCCTTTTGATCTTGAGCGATCGCTCATTTGGTGTGAGAGACAGTTCTTTGTTCGTCCAGTCGATTGACGGGTTTAGTGCTTTCAACCATGGGAACCCAAGTAAAATTTTGTCTTTCTTCGAGAGTTTGGTTATGTTGAACTTTCCTATCATGGTTCTCCCGTCAATTTTAACAATGAGGACGCAGTAGCGAGAGATGAGTCCTCCTCTGGCGTCCGATCCGTCTGCGGTTATAACGGGAAACAGGTTTCGAGAGTTTGTGGGTTTTGATTCCGTGTAACTTGCAGAATTCCTCGCTGATGAAGGTTCCGCTTGCTCCGGAGTCAATAACCATAGAGGTTTCGATGGTTTTGTTACGCTTGGTGGAAATAATAGTGGCAGGGACGCGAAGCTCCTTTTTATTTCCAAGTGATTGTACAAGTCGTATTGGGACAGGGGGTACTGACATCGATGCAGTCTCCCTTCCTAAAAATCCATCTCTACGAACCGTACGGTTTACCTCTTCGTCATCACTACTCTCTTCTTTCTCGATCTTTCTTCGGATAGGCATTTTCTGCTTTCTTATCTTCCCTGGGGTGGAATGTGGTATCGTTGGCATGATGGCCCGTCTGGTGGCATTTGAAGCAGCGTCCCTCTTTGAGGTGTCTCTTTACTTCGGACTCGGAGAGCTGGTCTATCTCCATAGGCATCGCTTCTGCGGGGGGTAAAGTGGCGATCCCCGTACTTCTTTTTCTTATGCTGGTACTGAGCGGGGTTTTCTCGTTTCTGTATGGCTCTCAATCTCTGGAAGGCATTATCCAGATTGATGCACGTTGCGATGACGGTTTCAAAGTCGTCTAAACTTTCTCCAGTGTGGTAGAGGTTGTTGCGAAGTCCTACGTCAAGACCTTCGCGGAAGAACTCTACTTTGGTGACGTTCTCAGTTATTCCTGCTTTATGGGCTAGGAGGCGATAGTTGGAGATATATGTGTGGAGGTCTCCTTTCATTTCAAGGGCTCGTACTTTAGCCATGGCCGTTCCGGCGGGGTCCATAGCTCCAAAGGCTTCCTTGAATGCGACTTTGAAATCGTCCCAGGTGCCGTACCCGATGATATTTCCGGCGGTATTCTTTTGTTTGGAGTTCTGAGTGGTCTCCATGAAGTCTTCTTTCCAAGCGGCTGCATTGCCCTTGGTCATGAACAAGAGTGCGAAGATTACTCTTTTCTTATCGCTGTCATAGATCTTCTCGTTGATATCTAAATACGCATTACAGTTCAGCATGAACCTGTGCGATTCGTCGCGATCTCCATCAAATTCGGGGGGAGAACCGATCTTAATTTCTATTTCTTTGGTAGTGGTCGCCATTGTATTCAATGGTGGTATCGGCGGTCGCGCCTAGGTTCAAAGCTCCGATCAAAGGAGTTAATGAAGTCGTGGTGTCTGCTGACGTCGCAGGTGGCGGCGTCTATGGTAGGACTTTAATCTTTTGTTACGACTGGGGTATGTCGAGCTGTCTTAGTCCGAGTGGACTGAGATTTGGCGAGACAGACGTGGTTCTTCTCTCGAATGAGAGGTCAAAAGGTTTCTGGCTAAGGCAAGTATCGGCGACTTCCTTAGATTGATGGTTCTTAGATAGCAAGGTTGGAGACCTTGCTAAAGGACTGGTTCCAGGTAAAACCCAGTAGATTAAAGTGAAGAACTACATGTGGTACGCTATGTATCTATATAGCGAGAGTTCAAGCGGAGCTTGTAAATGCGTATCAAGATAGAAGGCGGACAGCCCGCTTGGTAGACGATAAGAGATAAGAGATAGTAACCATGGTGCGGACAGCCCGCTTTGATAAGAGATGATCGGCTAAACATAGTGATGGTTACTAGCACAGAAAGTCAGCTTGGCGATGATGTGAGTAAGAATCTGGAAAGTAATTGGTCGCTCATCAACAGCTGTGTTTAAGTACCATTGTCCGGTAACAAAGGAGAAACGAAGAGAATTAGTGTGCCGTAACAGCATCCGGCCCCTGCGAAGCATGAGAATTTAGCGACAACACCTCACTGAAAGATCGAAGTAAAGAATGGCATCGACTGTATCCTACACCTGCGCGGTGGACAGCGGATTATCATCTGTTCATGGGATTGGTCAATTTAAGTCTGGGACTTGGAGAGCGGTACGCAGATTGGGGAGGAATGGGAGGTCCAAGATGGAGGAGTGCACACCATAGTATTATCGCAGGATGGTAAGACCATAACAGGCAGGTGTATGGATGGCACAGTGAAGTTGTGGAACATCGACACGGGCCAGGTGTGACGGGGCGGCATACAGAGTAGGAGCATTATGTGTGTTGGAGTCCAGACGGAGAGCGAGTGCTGAGCGGAACCTGGGAAGGAGGATTCATGCCCAGAATGCAGAAACTATCTTGGGACCAGTTAACACAGGGCAATCCATGAACATGGTTTGCTACTCACCTGATGGCAAGATCTTTGCCATGGGCGAGCCGTCACTCGATGAGCGGGGCATTACTGATTGGCACTGTTGGCAGCCTACTTCAATTGGCGTTGGGGTCCCAGAGTGTGTTGTCGGGTGCGGGCCCGAAGTGTGACAGTATGGGGCCACTGTGGTGACAGTGGCGTTACTGCCAGTGGGACTGACACAGGGCCCAGGCGCGGGAAATTAATTGGATTGTGATCACCGTACTGAACAGAGAGGCGGCGACTTGCTGCAACGCTGATATTAATAGATGATGCAGTCTTATCCGTTCTTATCAGAGTTTGATATCATTTTTGCTAGAGGTGCCGGTGAGTATGGACATCTTGTTGATTCTTGCACGTAGTGTTACTATTTCAACATGGCCCTTTACATGCAGGCGTCATTGGTACAGCTCGCATTGTTATGCGACTCCTCGATCAGCAGGCAAAGTTAATTCTCAAGTCAGAGATCAACTGAAGCTGCGCATGTCCTCCTCTTGAGCTTAAGCTACGTGAGGGTACGTGATGTATTTACTAGCTATCGTAACCAATGGTGTCACTCAATTGTTGAACTTTTTCCACACGAAGAAGCAAGCTCCAAATATGATAAGATGAACTAACTTGCAGCATGCCTTGCGCTCGACTACAATCCCTTCCCATGCTCCTCACTCTAGGGATATCGTGCATTGTTGCCCTGCTTGTTGCTTTGCGTCTGACTCGCAGACGTGTCTACCCTTTCCCTCTGCTACCTGGTCCTCGTCCCTCACCATTTTTGGGTAACGCACTGCAATTGGATACTAAACGTCCTTGGCTCACATATACTGCGTGGGGAAAGACATACGGTTGGTAGCAGCAGACCAATAGCCCCACTCAATTCCATTGTATTTTTCCCATTTTATTTTTTGCAAGTGATATACAAGTGACAGATGGTGAGAAATAAAATGAGTTCTAATTGAGGTCGACCATTTTATTTTATTTCTGAAGTACAGCGGTGCGCACTGAGATTAGAATATGCTGAGGCGGCACATTGAACGACGCAGCCTGAAGGAACACATACCCAGGAGTGCTGGATGTGTTTGAGCAAGTGCCCATGCTTCATGAACATGTGCAGCCTCCTCCGAACACAGATTATGATGCGCTACAGGCCAGTGCTGCCAGTGCAAGGCCGAGAAGTTCGTTGTCGTTGTCTTCTGCTGCAGCCAGTTGTGCAATGGCCAGGAACTCAAGTTGTTTAGCTGTAGACTGATGGTGCTTTAGGGGCTTGTGTCCGAGACCTTGTAGACGTGTGATACATTGATGATTGTAGGTACTGGAGACAAGTAGCATTCCCGCGCTCGCATTGTTGAAACTCCGCAATGATGAGCGCCGAACAACATACCTGCAGTCCAATATATCATTTTATTTTTTGTTCCCCACGGCAATCTACACTCACTCACTAAAAAATAAAATGAGAAAAATAAAATGGAATTGAGTGGGGCTAATGGCTTCTTGAGGCTTTTTGTCAAGTTCCTGGATTTAATTTTATATCTGATCATAGGAAAAATCATCCACTCCCATATACTTGGGATCGACATGATCATCATAAACTCTGAAACCATCGCCCAGGAGTTGCTGGAAAAGTGTTCTGTGAATTACTCTACCCGTCCTGTTCTTTGCACCAACGAATTGTATGTATTGTCGGTCTTCATTCAATTTGTTCTTCATCCACTGACGATACAGAGCTGGACTGGCTTTCAATTCTGTGATGCTTCCGTATTAGTGCTGCCGCGGTTCGGTCCAGAACCATGGTTCGAACCTGGACTTCCCTGGACCGGACCAGAAGTTCGGTCCAAGGTCCATTGGAGACCTTGGACTGGACTTCTGGTCAGGTTCACGGTTCGATCAGTACTGACAAATTGTGAACGGGTTCAGACTGGTCCGAACCAATAAGGTAACATCAGGTTTGGTTGGTTACCACATAGTCGGTACATCAAACACGTGGAAACCACACGCTTGGTTCAAGTGTTGCACACATTGTCCCACTCAGTGCTCCCTTCCCCCACAATTGATCCTTGTTGTTGACCTTCATCGCAGTGGGATCGGTCCTGCAATGTCACTGGTATGTATGTTCCCCATCTTGCTTATTCTCTAATTTCCCGTCCAATTTTTCTTATTTTGACATTCTCAATCTGTCAATGGCTAATATACAGTATCGCAACGCCCATCTCAACTGCTAATATGTTCAATTTTTAGGAGATATTCATTGTTGCCTTACATTGTAGGTGCACGGGCCTTCAAGGTCCAAATAAAGGGATCACCAATAGCACATCTGAGGTGAGTACCTTTCTCTTCTCTCGCAAAATGACCAACTGTGCTGTTGGTGCTGATGGGGCATTGAAGGATGCCTCCGAAATTTAATGGTTCAACAATGCGGATGATGACACGCCAATTACTCCTCCTCCTGCCAAAGACTCACTCGCTGTCCTTACGCAAGGTGGAAGGCAGCTGGCGTCTATCAAAGGTGGTACTTGACGCTCTTCTCGCCCTTTCAAGCCCTCTGCTCATCTTCGAGCAGCTGATAACGCTTCACCTGAGTTGTCTTCAGGCATGCGCCCACGCAAACGGGCATTATTGAGTGCAGATGATGCACCCATCAAAAAAGTTGCCATACGAGCGGCTCCTGAGGAAGATGACTTAGACGACAACCTCATCCCTCCCATTGCCAATGGAGATGACTCATCCACTGATGATTCAGAGTACACTAACAATCTCGATAATGAAGCTGAAGAAGCCGACGACACCGAGGAAGCATACCAGAAGACCAAGTCACTTGGAGATGCAGACCACTAGGTACATTTTTTTCTTAATTATAATCTACGGACACATTTCTAATCAACATTGTCAGGCCCGCCAAACATCCAGGAGGACAGATCGCACAGCCGATCTCCGGACCATTTTCACAGAAGAGAAAGGGCGTCTCAACCCAGACACTGGGACACCTGAGGATGGCTGGTGGTGCAATATTTGCAAGTACGTAAATTTCTGCACCGTAAGATCTGCCTTGTAGGATACTGACATGTACCTTAGGGATGCAGGGCTGCCAGCTCATCAATCGTTTTTCAAAGGTAGTATTTCTACGCGCCGTACACACATTTCAAGGTGAGTATCCTCACTACCTGCAAACTTAATGCCAACTAACCCAACAATATAACAGGAATCCGAAGTGTCATTTCCCGGTCTACAAGAGCCAATGTGAGGCACAAGATATCGCACTGAATGAACGTGCTATTCCTGCAAGTGTCCGAAACTCCAGCGAGCACCAGAAAACATTGGACGAGTCACTTGCCCCCAAAATTCCTCAGTTCACGAAGGCGGGCTTGATGGACTACATAGTTGAGCTCATCGTCTCCGAGGATGAAGCCATCCAGCTCGTCGACAAAGGGCCTTTCCGTCGCCTCTTGCAGTATCTTCACCCCAATCTTTCTGATGGTGCCATTCCTCACCATACTGAAAACCCGCGAGGAGATCCTCGAAAGAGCCAGACTCGCTGTCGAGACAATCAAGGACAAGCTCGCGCACATTGACAGCAAAATATTGATGATGTTTGACTCCTGGACATCTCTCATAGGCGACCCTGTCTTATCAGTCACAGCTCATTATATTGATGCTCCCGCTGACAAGCCCCAAGAGTGGGAGCTGAAGTCCGATCAGCTTGCTTTCAGGTATATCGAAGGAAATCATAGTGGTGCCAACATTGGGCGCATTTTAATGGAGGTTATTGATGAGTATGGTGTTCGAAAAAAGGTGCGTTTTTCTTCCTTGTTTTAGATCACACCTCACGAGACGAAATTTAGCTTGGTTGGTTCACTGCGGACAATGCCACAAATAACGATACTGCTATCCAAGTAGTCGCAGATGAGATTGATCCATCCAGTGAACAATGGAATGCCGATCAGCATCATGTGCGGTAAGTATTCGTTGTTTCAGATTTATAGATACTTATGTCTGTCTAGTTGTATGGAGCATGCCCTTCATTTAGCGGCAAAGCATTTTGTCGAAGCGGTTGGCCCTACAGGTAACGACGCTGACGAAGAGCACAATGACAACTACGACATAGCGGATACTGTTGGCAAAGCACTTGCACTCATCACACAGGTAAGCTTTTTTAAAACTTTTCTCAGTACTTTTAGCTAATGTAATCTATTAGATTCGCAAGTCACCCCAAGCTCGTGTCTTCTTCCACAAATGTTGTGGTGAGGCAGGCAGTCCCTACCCTCGAGCTTCTCAAGTGGATTCGGACTCGCTGGGCCTCCCTATTCAACATGTTGGAGCGAACGCTGCGCTTACGAAAGGTAAGTCACACTGTCTCGGTATCTTCCACACTAACTGACATTGATTTTTTTAGGGCGTCAATAGGTTCATTCAACTTGCAGATGACAGTGACGAGGTTCCGAAACTGCATGGTAAATCCTATTCAGACTTCAAGCTCTCAGGTCACGAGTGGTCGAAGTTGGAGCTCATGCGAGACGTACTCCAGGTGAGCCTCTCTTTTTTCTGGTTCATTTATACTAACTAATTTCTACATTATAGGAGCCTGCTAATGCTCAGCAGAGCTTCTCAGGCAGCTCGTCAGCCCACTGTATGGCGTACTATTCCGATTCTCGAGTTCCTTCAAGAGACTTGGGAAAATATGGCCCAGGCTTCGAAGTTCAACTGGTATTGCCAACACCATTCACTTGGGTCTTAAAACATCCGCAAGTGGTATCGTAAAACTGACGACACGGACGTGTACTTTGTCTGTCTCGGTGAGTTTTTTCTTTTAAACTCATCAGCCGCATCTACTGATTCAAACTATATAGCTTTGGATCCTAACTACAAACTAGCATACGCGAAAGACAAATGGGATACACAGTACTTCGAGGATGGGATGGCCTGCCTCGAAAACCTAGTAAGTGTTTATCTACCCTTATGCGAACTTGTTTGACTGACAACATTTTTTTAGTTCGATAAATATTCAAAGTCAATGCCAGCGGTTGCTTCTGATGTGACAAAGAATGCACCACGTGCATTGGTGCATGAAGGTTCATACAGGCATAGTTGGATGCGCAACACCATCAAATCATGCCTCACTACCGACGCCGCACACCAACACCCACGACAAGAACTCACCAATTACCTTTGTGCTCCTCTGGAGGATGTCGAGAACCCAGTTGCATGGTGGGGGGTGTGTTATATTTATTTACTTGTTTGTTTGCATGAGAGGCTAACAAAATTAAATATAGCGTCACTCTTTGCAATATCCGATAATGGCCAAGATCGCGAAAGACTACCTTGCAATTCAGGGCTCAGCAGTTGCATCGGAGTGCGCGTTCTCGAGCAGAGGCATTACTGGTACAGCACGTCGCAACTCATTGCTCCCAGAGGTCTTCGAGGCACTGCAGTTACTTAAGAGTGCTTATCGTGAGGGTCATATTTCAGCTCGTGCTCATGCAGAACTTGCAGCAGTAGATCTTTAGTATAATTACTTGTCATGTGTCAATTTTTTGCAATATTCATTTGGTTCATGGTTCGAACCGGTTCTGAACTCGAACTGGACCCCCCAAACCCGTTCACTGAAGTTCGGTTCGAGGTTTGGGCTGTCCCTATGAACCGAACTTTTGTAAAGTTCGAGGTTCGGAAAAATCACTCTCCGAACCAGACTGAACCGAACTTCGGCAGCACTATTCCGTATGGGGAGACTTTACGACAACATCGCAAGATCTTCCATCAAGTCCTTAGGGCCAAAGTTTCAATCTCGTACCACGAGATATACTCTCGCCATGCAAATGAACTCGTCATCAATCTCTTAGGTGCCACTAGTGACTCACTGCAGCAACACACTGAAGCGTTTGTACCTAATCCAAGGATGTCGTTGTGACGTATGGTCCAGTTGACGATCAATCCTTGTGACAGATACTCGGGATCCCTAATCATGACCGTGACATATGGACATCTCATTGATGAAGGCTCATTTCTTTCCCGTGTGCACGAAATACTTGATATTGCAAAACAGATTCTCTCTCCTGAGAAGGCTGCCATGTTCACAGCCTTTCCTTTCCATGAGTGCCTCTGTCGACGACATCATCTTGAACATTCAGCATGAGGTGGCAGTCGAAAAGTTGCCACTCTGGTGCTTTGGTGGAGCATTTGCCCTGATGGGACGTTGTAGAAAATTATGTCAACAACTTTTGAACGAGCCCTTGAACAAAGTGAAGGCACAGATAGTACGTTCACGCAGACTTGTGGATGAAAGTTTCGCTTGATCTGTTTGCATGAAGGCAGATGGTACTGCTTCGCGCTCATTAGTTGCTGACTTTCTCAGTGAAGCTCACGACGACACTGACAAAGACATTATGAAGGCTGTTGCATTGATGGGATACTTTGGTAGGAATTTGTTTTCACCAACGGAGCTCATCTATTGACTGGAATACGCCATCTTAGGTGGCATGGAAACCGTGAGTCGCTACTTAATTACTTGAAACATTTCTGAGTCCTACTTTGATGTCTCACAGATTGCATCCGTATTGCAGACATTCCTGCTGGCTATGATGCTCTATCCTGACGTCCAATCCCGTGCTCGTGCAGAAATTGACCAAGCTGTGAGGCATGACAGCATGCCGTGCCTTGATAACAGGGCGTCACTGCCCTACCTTGATGCCATTCTTCGTGAGGTCCTGAGATGGTATCCTCCTTTCCCCCTGGGTTGGTTGGTAGCGATATAGCTTTGTGTTTGCATGGCTGACCCCTTGCACAGGAATCCCACATGCAACATCAAACGATGATGTTTACGACGGGCACTTCATACCCAAAGGTTCGAAGTCGTACGAATCAAGGTTTTCGTCGACTCATCTATAGTTCAATCAGGTGCGATGGTAATGGTTAATCAGTGGTATGTCAGGCTGGAGTGCATGCAATGGATTGAGCTGAGCATTGCTCAGGGCACTGTCTCGGGATGAGGACATATTTCCCAATGCATCACGCTTCGATCCTAGTCGCCATTTAACACATCAGTAAATTCACACATTGCTTGAACTTCCTTTTTTGCAACTTGCTGCCGGGTAATTCCAAAAAAGGAGCGGAAAAGTCATTCATCAGAACGGTGACACCAACTTGCCATCAACTTGCCACAAGGCAATTTAAGTCGAAAAAGTAGATGCCTCCTCTTGACTTCGACTTTTTTCAAACTTTTTGTTGGCTTTTTTGGCACTTATTTGTAAAATAGCCCACATTGCAAGTAGTGCAAGTTGGGGCTACTTATTTCACACTTGTTTCGACAAAAATGACAAAATATTGCATTCAAGGATAATTACATGATAGGACTACTAAGTACTAGTGGGGAAACAATACAACTACTTGTGGCAGTGGCGACTAGATGCAGAAACGAACTCAAAGAATGGGGAGCCAGCAGCAGCAAATTTTGAAGAGGGTGAGAGGCGGGATGCGAGGAATGAAAGGCGGCATACAAGGCAGACGGCACATGAGGCAAGCGGCAGACTGCAATGAAGCAGACGCTATTAATAAAAGGAAGTAAAACAAATGAAAAAAACTTACTTGGAGGTATGCGAAAGGACAGGCGAAGTTTGGACACTGAGGCAAGTGGACATTATTAGTCAAGGGAAATTTAAAAAAATGAAAAAAAACTTACTTGGAGGTACATGAAAGGACGGGCGAAGTTTCAGATGCTGAGGCAAGCAGACATTATTAGTAAAAGAAAATACAACAAATAAATAAAAACTTACTTGGAGGCCATGCGAAAGGACGGGCGAAGTTTCAGACACAGACATTTTTAGTAAAATGGAAAAAAAAACAAATAAAAAAACTTACTGGGAGGTGTGCGAAAGGGTGCGAGACCATGAGAGTGAAGTTTCAGACACTGAGGTATGGAGGTATGTGAGATGATGCATGGAAGTTAGATTGAGAGTCAGACAAGGTTGAACGTTAGCGTTGAGAGTGAACTTCGTGTGAAAAACTGACGTGGTTCAAATATGACACGTGACGCGTGATGGTTCACAGCGCTCATTTTTGACAAATCCTGAAACTGCATGCGCCCATCTTTGTCATACTGACTTTAGCTTCATGCAGATTGAAGGAATTGGTTTGTATAGTTTGGGTTTGGGTACTGTACGTGCATCTATCAATTGTTCTTTCAATTTTTGCTAACTGCAGCCCTCCACACACCCCCCGGCACATCTCTCGCATCCTCCCAATCCAACCATGCCCAACTGCACCCTCCAGCACCCATACCTGGCGCCCTCCAGCACCCTCCTTGTTCGAGTTCGAGCCACGCTGATCCAAGTCATTGCCACCGCTCACAGGAAGTGAGTGTGTTGATCCTCGTTTGAGCAAGACCCATGCTGATCTAAGTCGTTTCCTGCTGTTCACAGTTCATGAGTCTGTCGATCCCCCTTCGAGCAAGACCCATGCTGATCCAAGTCGTTTCCTGCCGTTCGCAGTTCATGGGTCTGTCGATCCCCCTTCGAGCTCAAGCCACGCTGATCCAAGTCATTTCCCGCTGTTCACAGTTCGTGAGTCTGTCGATCTCGTTATTGTGTTGCTACTACTGATATACATTGTACCTACACCCATATGTCTAGTACATGAATACATGGGTCACGAGTTACTACCTGCCACGGGTTACATACCAAGTTGAACTACTTATTTACTTGCTGTACTTATTTCTGTTTCGAATACTTGAACTGACTTTTTTGATCTTATGCTACTTTTCGGCACTTGTGTGTCATACACTTCCTTTTTTGACTTGTGAAAACAAACAGCCAAGTGAATAAAGGTGAATAAGTGTCAATAAGTTAAAAATAAGTTTTAATTTTCGAAAAAAGGTCTGCCAAGAAATGTGTGAATTTGCTGATGCAGTTGACGGGAAGCTGAAGAGCCCTTTCGTCAACCATTTTGCCTTTGGTCATGGCAGGTAAATATTCCACACTTGCTATCATTTTCAATCACTCATTGACCCTTGCAGGCGTATCTGTCCTGGTAGGCTAACTCATGGTTGATCTGGCAGTGTTATGACAAATGCCTTTGGCAGGTCATTGGTTTGCAGAGAATGGTCTGTGGACCACATTTGCCACCATACTCGCCGTCTTGCGCATCGATCATGCCAAAGACTCAAACGGAGACAGGATTGATGTGAAGCCGGAGTACACCACTGGCTTGGCCATGTAAGTGATCTAGTATGCATTCAATAACCTGCAACTGACTCTGCCGAAGTCACCCTGAACCATTTCACTGCTCGTTTGAAGTCGTGAACACAACGAGAGAAGCACACATCCGAGCTATGATGAATTCGAAGTAGACTTAGTTTGTACTCGAGGTGGTCTGACATATGATATGGTGCAAAGTGTACTGGATGACACGGTTTTACGGTCTCTGCTTTTGTTTGTGTTTGATGAACAAGAAAATAAATTGACACTTCTTAAACTAGACCCGTTTCCAAAATATCCTGAACCGGCGCAACCAAGCTGCATACCACTGATCGGTTCACAGGCCCTTCCCGCTGGTCCACCTCTATCGATGGATAGTAATCCATGTGCTCGTACTACAGCGTACATATATTGAGTCATTCAAGGATGCAACTGCAGCGCAATTCATTAAAGTTCGCTCTGGAGCGTCATAATCACCCAGACTGACGGGCAGACCCCATGGGCCCCATCTGGACGTTGAACCCTGGGGTTGAAGCTTGGAGGCGTCCATTGACAGCCCAGGCACCCACATGCTATGCTTACGGGAGAGGAATCGATCTCACAAGGTTGCGCACGAACACAGCGATAAGATACACACATTGTCCAAGTGCTGATTACCGGAGATTCGACACCATGGGTAAGTATGTTAACCAATCGGCAACCCGCCAGTCGACTCTGCCTGTCCGTTGGGTACCGGGTACAGCGACTGGTTTAGGATACGGACGTATGGAAGGAAAAGCCCTGACGCAGAACTCCGTGATTCCACCGGAGCGGCAGGGCGGAGAGCCCATTTCGAAATGGATGTGGCCTCAGTCATGCATTGCGAAATTACTCAACCTGAAGACCGACATGATTAGACCGACTTGCAGCCTGCAGCGAGACCGAGCGATTGGGAGGAAAGGGCGACGTACCAGGGAACTGTGAGAGACAGTCGAGTCAACTCTAAAGGCAACGAGATAAAGAAACGAATATCCCATGAATCGCGAGGCTGAGCGAGCCATACAGGAGGGACTGATTTCGTGCGAGAAGAAAAGTGAAAAGCTTGCGGAAATGGCGAAAGAAAATGACTTGATGGTCCATCTTAGGCGAATGGATTTGATGCATGGGGCGGTTTCTACTGGGGCTCAAGCTTGGAAAGCGGTACGCAGGTTGGGGAGGAATGTGGGGCCCAAGATGGAGGAGTGCACGCCATAGCATTGTCGCCGGATGGTAAGACCGTAACAAGCGGGTGTGTGAATGGTACAGTGAAGTTGTGGAACATCGACAAGGTGATCAAAGAATGGACGGGGCATCCGGAGACTGAGTTCTTTGTGCTGGAGTCCAGACGGAAGGCGAGTGGTGAGCGGATTCTTCCGTGGAACATTCATAATGTGGGATGTTATATGAACGTTACAGTACTTGGATGCAGTTTGCTACTCACCCGATGGCAAGATTTTTGCCACGGCATAAGGTAGGCTGAAAATTTGGGATGCCAGCACAGGGATCAGTGTAGCTCTTTTAATTTACCTTATCAGGCAATACACGTGACCAAAAACACTGATCAAATGAGCACGGTGTTCCGGCTTTCCATAGAACAGAAACTTTCTGCAACGCTACTATAAAGCCTAATAGCAAGTGACAGTTCGAATGTCAGATCCAGCAGATTCTAGAGAATACCAGTGTGCTATGCAGCCTGTGTGTTTTTCTTCTTCATATTAGGTTCTTTCCACTGTCTCATTTTCACGCAGAGGAACTATCATGCGAGAAATAAGACAACCCCACTGGGCCCTAAGTCAGATTCTCGGTCTCCCAATACTGACGTGCCCCAATCAAACGAAACAACGCAGAGCACATCATTGGCAGCTGAGACGTCGTCGCACACTGATGTCACTGAAAAGCAGTCCAAATGGTGGATTTTAAATTGGTTCTTACGATGAAGTGGTATGTCTATTCAGTACACGAAGGGTCAAGATGGATAACAAATTTTGTGCGTCTCCTACCCTCACTTTATGCATCTCCTACACTCCATCATTGTACTTATATATGCCCGCCACCATGTTAACGTTGTTGATTGTTTGACACTTCCCGTGTGTTGTGGATTCGAATATTTGTTTTACGTTGCTTTGTGGATAGATGATCAAACGTTGTGCTACCTCCATACACGCTATTGGAGTCACTACGACGATTTTTGTACACATCCAATCTTACAGTAAAATCAGACTGATGCTATGACCAAGCATTGTTTTTTTGTCCTAGATGTTGCATCGATGAGGTCAGTCGTTGCACGCATGCTGGCCTATCTTTAAATTTTGACG